AAAAAAAAAAAAAAAAAAAAAAAACGAGAGAGAGAGAGAGAGAGAGAGAGAGAAAAGCAGCTTTGTTCCAATTCAGCCTTACCCAGGATGGAATGCAGGTGGCCCTCCCCCTCTAGGCCTAGGAGGCAGAGTCCCTCCATGACAAGGAAGTCAATCCCAGATTTAGTGATGTGGAGTCTGAAAGCCATAGTGACTTTTGGTGACAAGAAAGCCCACCCTGTGAACTGACACCCAGCTTCCACTCTATCAGCAATCCCAGCTAGCCCCAGGCAGCCCTACATTCAGCTGGAAGCCTAGGCTCAGTCCCACCAGGCCTAGTGCACAGGCCACAGGGAAAGGCAGCCTAGGGCCTGGACACAGAGAAGGCTGCCCTGGTAGAAAGCCATGTGTCCACTCTACCTTGCTCAAAAGGGCACACTGTTCCTGCTGACTGCAGATCAAGCTCCGCCACCGGAATCGCAGTTTTCCCATCAGCCACTGCAGGAAACGGAGGTCCACAGAGCCCCCTGCATCCACTTGGAGTGCAGCCAGGCCAGGACTAGCCAGGGCCTCACACTGTGAGGAAACGGGTATCAGGTTCTACTTGCCATACTTCTGAAGGCCAGATGGGAAGGGTGCTGCCGGGCAGGACTAAGCCTCCAGCTCAGCTGGCCCAGGGCTGGCCCAAAGTCACATGCAGAGGGGGTTGGCCCTGCCTGGCTTTGCTGTGGCCACAGGAACCCTGGAGTACCCAGGATTCTGAGCAGGCCTGGCCCAGGTCACCCTCACTCCACACTCACCTCACACGTGGGAACCTGGTCACCCAGGCGCATGCAGGTCTGGGACAGCACCCACTCCAGGAGGGGCCCTCGGGCCATGAGCCAGGAAAAGGCCAGCAGCAGCTCCCTGCTGCCCTGAGAGCCATCTTCAGGGAGCTGTGCTAGAGCTGGCCTTGGGTAGCCATAGGAGTGCAGCACCACCTTCACCCAGTGGGCTTGGTCCCCTGAAAGAGAACACCCATTTAGGGGGATCCCCACCTGCATCTGATCCCTCTGAGGACCCCACAGCCCCCCAGAGCAGCGGCCCATCTCAGAGGGAACCGTGGGCAGGGGGTACCGAGACTCCGATCAGGATGAGTATGTGCGGGGCCAATGCTACCCAAGTGTGCAAGATCAGCAGCCCCTGGGTGTGGCTTTGCTTGGAGTTGCGCTTTACAGAGTGGGGCTGGGCCAGTGCCCAAGCGGTGCAGGCCAGTTCCTGGGGGCGTGGCTTTGCCTTGAGGGCAAGCCTCGGCGCAGAGGGGACCTTTGAGAGTGGGGCCTACCCGGGCCCAGCAAGGCTGCGGCGCAGTCTTCCCGGAGCGGCGAGAGCACTCGGAAGAGAAGCCGCCAGAGCGCTGGGGCCTGTGGTGAACAAGGAGCCAGCTGTCAGGGGGGCCGGGCCGCCCTCTGCGTCCGCCCAGAACCACGCTTGGCCCGGCACCCGCCAGCAAGCCTCACCGCCTCTGGACGGTTGAACTTGGCGCGGCGGAAGATCTCGGGGCTGGGCCCGTCTGGCAGCGACCGACTCAGGATAGCGATGGCCTCCGGCAGGGTCCTGGCCTCGGCCCCAGTCCAGGCCGCGGCCGCTCCTTCCATCCCGCACCGCTGCCACTCCCGGCAGTCGGCAGCAGGCCTTCTTAGATCGCCCGCCCGGATCCCCCGCACCCAATCACCGCCGCCCAGGTCCGGCAACCAATCACCTTGCCGGCAGGGTCCACCCGCCAGCCTACAAAAGCACTTCCGGGCTCCGGGGGTGGGCGTTCGGTGCAGACTGCTGGGTCGGGTTGAACTCTGGGGCCCAATCTCCGCCAGACACCTGCTTCTGCCCAAACCAGCCAATCAACGTATCGCGCTACCAGTCACGTAGCAACCGTGGGCGGAAATCGCCTGCGTGGGGTTGAAGGGGGCGCTAGTGCCAAAGGCGCCCCCTGGAGTCGCGGAGGACCTAAGAGCCTGGCCCCACCCTGACGGGCGGACTACCTACGCAGAGCCTCCTCGGCCCCACCGCCAGGAGGCACAGCAGGCCCCGCAGCGACTCCTCTCAGAGCAAGCGCCGGGCAGGCAACTCAACGCTACACTTTAGTCGAAGTTCCACTGAGAGCAGAAGGGACCCCCAGCCCCCATGCCCCGCCCCAGTTCCCTCTGCCCAGCCTCACCTGCAGACTTCCCTTGCGTGTCACCTAGAAGCTGCCCCTCCTGGCCACGCAGCGGTCCCCGGTGCGGAGAAGGACGCGGGCCAGGACCAAGTGCGCATCCTGAGCGAGGGACAGATGGAGATGCTCCCGCTCGTCTTCCACCCCTCGGGACATGCGACCGCTACGTTCTCGCCCGCTCTGCACAGCGACGCTCAAGCGTGAGATGCTCCTCCTTCTTGCTCAGCCCTGACGCCCGTAGCTTTGATTTCCCCGCACCCCGTCCTGGTTAGTCCCTGGTTAGCTCTTGCCCTACCCTGGCATGGTGGACCCCACTTCACACAGGCCTCCGCGCGCGGGCGGTGCACCCCAAGCCTTCCCCAACTAAGACCTTTAGCTACCCGGTTGCAGAAGTCTTGATGGTGGGACCCCAGGAACAGGAACCGCAACCCCACCGGAGCCCTACCCGGCACGGTCCACTCTGGACTCCGGGTGTAGCTAGCCCCACCAGACTTCCCATGGGGCCACCGGAAACTCAGACCTGCTCCGCATTCCAGCTCAGCCTGTCCCACCCCACCTATTGTGCAAAGCAATGTTCTGTACCTTCTGGAGTTCCAGAAGCACCCATCTCGCACTCAACAGACATGCTGCCCTACAGATCATCCAAGTGGCTCTTGCTCTACTGCCCAGCCAGACTGAGGCTTTCTGTGCTATTCAGTTCCAGAGGTGAAGTCAAGGGGCCAGGAAGAGATGGCCTGAGGTGGTCAGGAGTCTGACCAGTGAGCAGTTGTCCAGGGAGTTTCCAGAAAGCTCCCTCCACAACCAATAGCTAGCACCCAAACCCCAGGCCACAAGGGAAGTTCCTGGGCGGGCAGGGAGGAGGGCTCCCATTCAGCCTGCTGAGCAACTGTGTACACCCCTGCAAACATGTTGTCTGCCCTGAGAGGAAAGGGACTGGGGTGGGGTGGCAGGAAGTGGGAAGGGACCAGGCAAGGAGGCCACACCACAACTCCCCAAAGCTGCTCAAAAAAGGAACCAGCAGTTTCAGCAGATTCACACCCAGACCTGGGCCAGAGCAGCCTTGCGGCCCCACCCACTCCATTCTCCTCTAGCCCTTTGGCCCCAGCCTCACCTTGGACCAGTATCACCCAGGGCAAGGGCATCTCTGCAGGTCTAGGCATTGGGAGGAGGCCTGGACTCTTGCCCTTCAGATGGGACTCCAACCATGGTAGGCCCCCAAGAGGGTAACAGCAGTACCCACTGCAGTGGGAGGAACACAACACTTTGTGGAGCCCCCAGATCCCCTCCACTGCTCACTGGCTCACACGTGGGTGTATAGTACACAAAAACACAGGTCATCCAAGTGTTCAGGTTTATTGAGGACATGAGGGACTGCTGGGAGCCCTGGGTGTCTGGGGGTAAGGCTTGGCATCTGCCTGGATGACCAGTGGCCCAGTAGGTGGCCAAAGATGGTGTCTCCAAAACCTGTACAGAGAGACAGGGACAGATGTGAGTACAGTTCCAACCCCTGCCACCAAACCCCATACATGGCCAGACCCCAATTGGGTGGGCTGATGGCAATGGAGGCAGTGTTATACCTGGGTCTACTTGAAGGTGTGACTTTCAGCACCACCCCGCCCAAAGCCTGCAGGATAAAGAAAGGTCAACAGGTTAAAAGGTGGGGCTTCATACTGGATCAGAGTCCCAGGCCAGGGTCCTCAGAGCATACCTTTGGGCCCAAACATGGCAGAGTAGCAGGGGTGGTTGCAGTAGGGCTTGCCTTCATGCTGCAGAGAGAGGGGCCATGAGGGGGAGCCATCCCCCATACCAGCCCACTGCCCACCTGTCCACACCTACCTCAGCATGACTCCCGGAAGTCAGCGTCTTTCCACACTTTTCACACTTCAGGCAGGGCCGATGCCAGTCCTTGCCCAGCGAGGTTACCCGCTCAGCTGCAGAGCAGACCCCCCTGAGTCCCTGCTGGGGGGCAGGCACATCCACCCCTTGTATACCCCTGCTCCTGTCCATTCACTAGTCTCTCTCCACCTGGCAGTCTGCCTTGGCAGCTCACCCTGTCCCTTCCCCAAGGGGAATTCTTCAGTCCCCTCAGCCAATCCAAACCAGAAGGGCCACTTCCCAGGAAGCTCAGGGGCATGACCCCGTGGAACTGGTGGGGCTGCTGGAAGTGGAGAGGCACCCACAGCTGGGATAGAGGTGCCCAGCCCCAGGGTCTGGGCCAGGCTACTAAGGTGAAGAGATCTGGCCTCAGTCCCTGTGTCAGGTGGAGCAGGAGGGACCTTTCTGCTTCCTTCCTTCCGTGTGGGCCCTGGGGTGCACCGGGAAAGAAGATGGGCGCTAGGGACCCAAGCGGGACAAATAACGGGGTAACGGGTTTCTGTGCCTGTTTCCGTTTAGTGCTAGGGGGCCGCCAGCTGGCTTCTTTCCGCACTGCGCGAACCCAGCCCAGGGCGCGTCAAGATGGGGGGGGGACCTCTGGGACCCGGAGACTGGGGATTAGAGGTCAGAAGCCGCGGAGACCCAGAGCCCGGGGGTGCACAGGGTCACCGACACAGGAGACCCAGAGACCCAAGACGAGGATCATGCGGGACAAAGGGATGGGAAGCAGAGGGTCACAGAAACAGGGAGATTAGAGGTGGGGGACACAGGCAGAAATTCCGACTAAGCAGAGACCGCAGGACCGTCGAGCCAGGGCTCCCCACCCTCCCACCCAGGCCCCGCCGCCCCACGC